AAAAAAAAAAAAATCTTGCCAAAGCTAATCCCTCCTTGACCAGGGGTGGGGTTTTTTTGCACTGTAGTTTTTAGCACAGATGAGTTTGTTGAATGATTTTGCAGAGCACCTCAGGGAAGGCGGGAGAAGAAATAACAGTCTGATGATACCATGTCTCAAAATAGGGTAACAGAGTCCATGTCTCAAAATTGTTTATTTCTTTAAATTCTTAGTATATGCAAAAGGCAAAAAAGTCTAGCTAGTAGTTAGTAACAGATTCTCTTCCTATCCCCCTGCTATTTAGGATTCACAGATTAGAGATGCTGCTGGACTGCACTCAAGGGGGAAAAAAAAATAACAGTATCCTTGTTTGCAGTTCTCTATGTACATAAAGGAAGAATATTGGGCTTTCTGGTATCCTACTGAAGGAGAAGCAGATATCCCACAGTGACTTGGGTTTCAGAGGAAATTACAGCACTATGGAAGAACTGAAGAAGAGAACACTGTCACTGGAGAGTAAACTCAGACTTTGAACTGAAGTGTAAACCACTTTCCTTCAGCTCTCCAACATATTTAGCATAACTAGACTGTTTTGCTGAGGCTGGGCTGCCTGTGGGATGCTCAAAAGCTGTAGATAACTACAGCTGTTTCCCAAACAACTTATTAATGGTCATTCCTTCTACACTTTCTCATCATCCAGGGGAGCAGTACCACCCATTTAGAGAGCCCTACACTATTTTCAGAGGGTAGTCTTTTTATTTAAGTTCCAAACAATTCTATGTGGTTGACTTCACTTGTTGAGCTTTCTCTTTTGAAGCTGTTACAAGTGGCAGATAGAAATGTCTTTCCTACTTGTTTCAAGAACTCTGAAGTATCTTTTACAACATTTATCCTTCAAATTCTATCTTTTTTTTATGAACAAAGACACCAAATTTACCATGGTATATCCTACATAATTTATATACTTCAATAACAGACTTAAATTGCAATGTAAAAACTTATATATTACTAATTATATTTTTAATATATAATTATAACCTTTGACTTTTTTTATTCTATCAGATCATTTCATTATTGGGTGCATTTCCCCATACAGTAGCTGTTATAAGTGTTATTACTGATGGTTGGAAACATTCTATAACACTGACAGAAGGTATACTACTTCTAATTTCTTCTTTAAAAAATAGCTAAACTTAAATTTCTGACTAAAATTGAAAATAATATTAGAAGTCAAGGAAAATACCTATGCAACATATAGTCAAAAGATTAAATACCAGAAAGTTCTGGTGAAGGTGTTGTGAAAATTGACAGTTGGTGTAATGTTTCTCTGGCAATTACTTCTAAAAAAGTTGACTAAAAAGTACACCAAGAATCACCGTAATGACTACGTATCCTCAAATTTGTTTAGCAGCTAGCTTAGTAGGAGTGTTATACTGTCATAAATGTGGACAAGTTTTAATACAGTAATGAATCACCAAAGTTTTATAAAAATGATCCAATGTATAATGAAAATAGGTAGTACGAGATCCATTTCAGAGGGAAAAATTGAGATTAAAGTGGCTTGTTTAAAGGCTAAAGAAAGGCTCATTAGCAAACCTAGAACAAACTCATGAATATCTAATTCCACCTATTCCAGATGCTATGCTCATATCACTGGTATTTCTTAACAGTGATATTATGCAAAACTTTCATACATTATTATTAGCAGGTTTTATATTTTTAAAATCTGCTGGTTTATGGCAATCTATGCATTGAAATTACTTTCTTTCTTAACCTTTGTTTTTCAAAACCAGCATTTTCCATTCACTGCAATGTTATTTGAGTAAGGCCTTTACCACTTTTAGAGTGATTTTATAATTATTGAAGTGAAATGAACCAAAGCAGCAAGAAAAAATTACTGTGCACAGTGATATTTTGGGTTATTGGCCCAAAGATGATTTGGAATTCTGCTGCCAAATTGCTTATAAAAAAAAGAATACATGCACCAAAATATTGAAATGTAATCCCAAATGCTGAATGTATTTTTAAATGCCCGATATGGTGCTTGCTAAAAAACACACTACTCTGTTTAGGAGGCACTAAAGTGTGGTGAAGAACTAGCTGTGTGCCAGAGCAACAGCTATCGAAAACAAAACTCTAAAGGTATTACAAAATAACCCAGCTTCTTGTCAGCAAAATGTAAGCTAATAATAATAAGAATATTCGAAGATGCCATACTTTAACATACTGCTTCTGCTTTTGTCTCCAGTCATCACTAGTGATACATGAATACTAGTAATTATGGAAAATACCGGTTTATTGCATCCTTTTTGTTTGAGGGAAATATGGCTTCTTTACCTAGTTTACTAAAAGGTATTATAAATACTTTTCCTCACTGCACTATTAGTTGGTATTTTCATTGTCTGCTGAAGCAGGGACCTCTTACTGACAGCTACTGTTAGCAAAAAATCATCTTCTAAGAGGAGATAAAGATAACAGCAGCAAGCTGTCAAACCAGTTGGAAACATCTTCTAGTATTTACTTCTACTCAAGTGCGCAGAACTAGAGCATACAATCTCTACAATGACAGGGATGGATTTTATTTTTTTTTTAATCAGAGTAACAACTCTTGGGTGAGAATCAACTTGGGTGCCTTTTTAATGATACAATGTATCCATTATGTAAATGGAACGAAACACTCATATGATTCTTTTTCCCTTCTAACACTTAAACCAGTTCATACAGCAAATACATTTGCTTGGTGCATTAGTAACAGTAAAATAAAGAGGAAATTAACACTACAAACTATTCAACACGGATGAAAAAATGAAATTTGGTGTTTTAAAAAATACTAAAACCCAAGATTATTGTTTTTTGCAGTTCAGACCAAAAGGTAAGTACTGTGTTAGATGAGGTTAAATCAGCTAAATTCTAAATCTAGCTTTAAGAATTCCTTCAATTTTATTTAACAGACAGTATTACCAAACTAAACAGTAAACTAATTACATAAAATGACATTAAAAATATAAATGAAACAAAAATGCAATTGCTACTTTTTTATGACTGCTCAGATGAGCATACAGCTACTCCATACATTGTTGTTCAACTAAGATGCTTTGCAATCTGAACTTCATATTCGTATACTGACATTCAGATATGCACACAGAAGCAGTCCTTATGAATCCTATGCCGGACTGATTATAAAGAGGAGACAAAGAAAAAAAGGAAAAAGAAAAGAAAAAAGGTAAATATACATGAAATTCCAGGGAGTAAAACTGATCAGGGCTGAATGCTATGCTAAAGATGCCAAAAAAGCAAAGGAGTTTTTAAAATCTTCTACAAGCACAAATATAACAGAACGAGGCAGGAAGGTCTCACAATCCTGTTGCAAAGGGAAAAAAAAAAAAAAAAAAAAGAAAAAACTAGGACAGGGAAAAGGAACATTATGGTCCAGAAGAGTATTTCAGTGTTAGTAAATCTTCTGAAAACATCAAGCAAAATGGAATGATTCACAGTCATAAGAACTGGGAGTAGGAGGAAGAGTGCAAAGATAGAAAGAAAGTGGCGCTCTATATTCTCATGGAACAATTTCTATATTCTTCTCTATCAACACCATGTCTTGGTCTTATTGCTGCCCACTGAGAACAACAGGGCAATCAATGTAGGAAGCAAAATGCCAAGAACAAGATTTTTAACTCAAAGTAGGACTGTAAGATGCATTAATTTTAAACCACAGATGATCTTGTCAGAAAAAGTTTTTCTTTTCTTTTTTTTTTTCCCCTCGTCTTTGTGTCAATCTCCTATCAGGAACATTTAGAAAATTTGACTCCAACAGTTTATTTGAACCATGACACTCAACCCTCTCACCTCAACTTTGTCTTCATGTGACAGATATTAAGGATTTAGTATTTTTTTTCCTGCAGAACCGAGTCAGGAAAGGAATGAATCACATATTCAAGTCCCACTGACCTACCCAAGATGTGAACATGCAATGTTTCATTAACACTAATACGTCATGTATCAAGGACAAACATCTGAGTAAGATGCAGAACTGGTTCTGAAGATAAAAGCTCTAATGCCAACTTAAACCAGTGCCCTGTGCGAGACAGGGCTTGTCAGATCGGGTATAGCACCACAGTAATGTGGTAATACTGCTTTTGGAAGCAGGCTAGTATCTGTTTCTTCTGCACGTTCCATTGCAAAAAGAGAAGTCACATATACAAATTTAGGAGGACTTGAATTCATGGTTTAAGTTAAGCATCCATTTGGTGTAGCAGGTCAAACAGTTCCAGGAAGGATTTTCAAAGCTTACAAATGTCACAGCAAACAGCAGGAGACTAAAATTTTGTCAGTAGATACAACCAAGCAACTAATACCTCTGCAGCAGTCTAACACTCTATGCCTCTCTCTGTTGTCTTCTACTTCTTTAATCAGCGTCTATAACAGTACAGCAAATATATTTGAACATCTAAGATCATTATGATGTGGACTGCAAGGTACAAAACGGCCTGGAGGAAAACAGATTATGCTGTTTGAAGCCAACTTTTGGTACTACAGAGACAACTAGAGATAACAAGGCATAATGCAAACAATTATTTTGTGTGTCATCATAATTTTTTCATTAAACACAAGGTAGTCACTACCACAGAATGACTCTCAGTCTAATTGAAAAAGACGTGACAGCTACCACTCATTTTAAACTTTTTTGTTTGTTTTTACATTTTGCGAGGCTTCCTTCTCCATAAAGGAACACTCAAATAACGTGAGCTGGTTTATATCAGTGGGGCTGCTCATTAAGATGAAGGCTGCACAGAGAAACACTTGCGCCTTTCCCTCCCTAGTGTCAAAACATGTATACAGCCACTTCAGGATCCATAAACTATACTAATCAATCTTGCCTATTTTCCCCTTAAGTGCTGACAAACTGTAACGAGCCAAGCCTCAGACCACTTTAAAGATATTTGAAATACTAGCCATAACCAAATGGGCAGATGAACAAGCTCAAGAACAGATGCAGCTAAGGCATCCCAAGTCCTCGTTACGGTTCCCCCAGCGAAGGGCCGGAGCTGGCTGCCGCATGGCGAGGCAGCCGGGACAGCCGGCACCAGCACTGTGCCTTGGGGACCGCCTCACCACCTTCTACTCACCTGACTCTCCCACAGTGTATTTTGGGGTTTTTTGAGAGATGAGCCATGCACCGTGCTTTTGAGTACTTTTTCCGCATTGTCAGCGATTGATAAGAGCAGCCTGGAGAAATGTAAATCGCAGAAAGGCTGTGGCTGCTTGCCGGGGTAGGGGCTTTCTCACCGGAGGCAGAACACTGTTCTGCCTGCAAGGAGCCCGTGAGGGGCCAGAGGAACGTGCTGCTGAGGTGCACGTTTCTTCACTGAGGATTGAAGATGGAGAAGTCACTGAACAATTTTGCCTGAGAGTCCCACAGCAGCAGAGGAGATTATATTCTTCCACATACCACAACACAGAAGACCTGATTATAAACTATCTCCATGTGAGACCACTCCGTTTCCGAAGCAGTTCAGCCGCATTAGTGCACCAATGCACCTGTGCTAATAGCTTGCCTCTCAAACGAACTTATTAGTACAGCACATCAGCCCAATGTTGTTGCACAGCATCCAGCCACGGAGCGGCTTTCATCCTGCTAGGCCGGAATACAGAGGCATCTGGAACAAAACACTCGGCTCCTTGCTTTAGCAAAACTGGTCTGCGCAGATTTCTACTTCTTTATCAGTTTCCACATGGGAAGTTTTTGAAGGGATCCCTCTCTGCTTTTTAGCCTAGGACAGAAGAAGCTCTTGTTCGGAAGCTGTTCGCAGGAGAAGAGAGGAGAAGCAGAATCATCAGGGAAAACGATTCTGCCGCTCAAAGATGATGAGAAGTAAGCAAATACTCATGAGGAGAACGGCTGTGAGTCGAGGAAAACAGAGAAAAGATGAGTGGCAGCCTCCCCTTAGGAGCCTAAAAGGAAGGAAAACACTTCTCCACTCTACCGTTTGACTGAGTAGGCCATTGTCTCGCTATCTGAATAGCCCATTTACCACTAGCATTCATAAAACCCAAAAAAAGAGAGGCAAACAAAAATAGTTTTTCCTACGTCAACCTCATTTAATTACTGAAGATTAGTTTGAATTGTTGATCTCCTAATGCTTTGGCAGGATTGGCAGCCAGTCTGGTCCAGTCAGGCTTGCCTGATTATATGAGAAACAGAAAATAAAATTAGCATAGTCAAAGCCAGGGATAATCTAGGAAGTATTCATGATAATGAATAGAGCTGGGTGACAGGTCGCTTTTGCTGGGAGTTTCTGATACCCAGTCTTGTTACGATGTGTGTGGGCTAGTAAATATTCAGTAGAAGTTTAACAGGATATTTTAAGGAGATTTACAGTCAGCTCCGTCATGTCTGTATCACCAGACTGACATGCTGTCTTTGCTTTTGCATATTTTCTTACAAGAAACTTAATGTCAGCTTATATGGTAAGAAACTAGACAATCATATATACATAAATCTGTGCCTACTGAGATGCGTAGGATGAAAATAGCTCGCCTTGTCTCTTGGGAGCATAATACCCAGTAGGCTAATTTCCAGACAACACTGCAGCCAATCCTACTATTGAACAAAAACTAGAATTGTATTTTTTTTCAATCACAAAAACTGGCTCAAAGGAGGCAGACAACTATTAATACAGTCTAGGATATCTGGAGATCTCCACCAAGGACAAAAATGGAACATACATTAATCATTTAATCAAGTGCACACACACTTTTTTCTTTACAAGGAATGTCAAAGTTTTAATGCAAACTTTATCTTGCCACTAAACTGGTAAGTCTTACAGAGTCATATTATCACTCTGGTGCACTGTCTCACTGTTACTTTTCATTTCTTGCCCTCCTGCTCTAGTTTTGAAAAAAAGTAAAAGAAATGAGATGTGCTTGCTCACAGCTAACAAAAAGTCACTTACTACAGTGACAAGTTTAATAATTTTACCTAGGGCGACAAAGCATATGAAGAAGAGTTACAAAATCAGACTTGACGACTGACAAGCTACTATAATGCTGCTTCGCAAGGCATCTTATCTGCCAAATCTACTTCTTCACTCCCTATCAGCTCACAGTAACACCTGCATTTGCTTCTTACTATCACAGCTTCTAGACTATGGCACGATAACTATCTAACCAAAACAGCACACCTTCGTCAGCAGATGACTTTGTATCATATAATGGGCTTCTGAGCAGAGAACTGGAAAAATTCAAGTGCAGGATGCTTAAGCACTGTCAAATTTTTCTTTTACAGAAAAGCAAAGCAATCAAGTGATCCCTTCTCACTTCATGCACTTCATCCCTTAGCACTTCATGCTAAGGCACATGGAGAGCAAGGAGGTGGTGGGTGACAGCCAACATGGCTTCACCAAAGGCAGATCGTGCCTGACCAACTTGGTGGCCTTTTATGATGGGGTGACAGCATTGGTGGACAAGGGTCAACCAACAGATATCATCTACCTGGACTAGTGCAAAGCTTTTGACACTGTCCCGCACGACATTCTTCTCTCTAAACTAGAGAGGCATGGGTTTGATGGATGGACCACTCGGTGGATAAGGAATTGGCTCAATGGCCGCACTCAGAGAGTAGTGGTCAACGGCTCGATGTCCAAGTGGAGACCGGTCACGAGTGGCGTCCCTCAGGGGTCCGTGTTGGGCCCGGCCTTCTTCAACATCTTTGTCGGTGACATGGACAGTGACATGGAATGCACCCTCAGCAAGTTCGCCGATGACACCAAGCTGTGTGGTGCTGTCGACACGCTGGAAGGGAGGGATGCCATCCAGAGGGACCTCGACAGGCTGGAGAGGTGGGCCCGTACCAACCTCATGAAGTTTAACTAGGCCAAATGCAAGGTCCTACATCTGG